TCAAGAGAGCGACGGCGAACTGACACCTTCCATCCTGCCTCAGCCAGTGCAGAGAGGTCTTTGCAGACCGGCCGCCTCACACCTTTCCGGGGAAGCTCTGGGCACGCCCACTGAATCCTCCACTTACTGACTCCGGATTCGTCCCACTGAGTTTTTCTCGCNTCAAGAGAGCGACGGCGAACTGACACCTTCCATCCTGCCTCAGCCAGTGCAGAGAGGTCTTCGCAGACCGGCCGCCTCACACCTTTCCGGGGAAGCTCTGGGCACGCCCACTGAATCCTTCACTTACTGACTCCGGATTCGTCCCACTGAGTTTTTCTCGTTAAGAGCTTTTGGAGATCATCTTTCCTTCCTAAAACCTTAAGATTTAGAACTGGAGGGGAACACAGAACTCTTCTAAACCAAATCTTCTANTTTCCTTCCTAAAACCTTAAGATTTAGAACTGGAGGGGAACACAGAACTCTTCTAAACCAAGTCTAATCGCCTCATTTTTACAGATGGGGAAATTGAAACATCAAGAAAAGAAGTGACTTAAGATGGGAAGTGACTTACTTAAGATCTCACCACAGAAAGGAGCACAGCTGAATACCAACTTTTTCCTGTTTTCCTTGATCCCTAGTTGGATGGACTTTTTAAGGCTTCATTTTAAGAGAAATTTTATCTCATTCCCCAACACCTTGCATTCAATCAAGTGATCCATTCATTTAGCAAAATGACCAAGCTTGTCAGAGAACTTAGAAAATGAACCATTCTCCCTTTGCAGTGGCAAGAGAGTATGGGTATGGAATAGTGCACATACTATCAGAGCCAGTTGTTTGGTTGTGTTGCTGAACTGCTTTTTTTCCTTAAATATTTTTTGTTACAAGAGATTATAGTCACCGTATGTAGTAATTGCATCCAGAAGTTTACCAATATGAATTAATTGCTATGGCAAGAAGACAAAAAGAATCTAGAAAGCCTAGAAAGAGCTCAGAAATAAACAACTGACTAGCTTGCTGAGAGGAGAGAGACAGCTGCCAAAAGCAACATAGGGTTAAAATAGAAACCCGTTTTTAAAAAAGGATGATTGAAGGTTATGAGCACTATTGTCTCATAAAGCAGAAAGGAATAGTGAAGGATAAAACCAGTTTAAATGAAGCTTGGCAAGATATCCAACTAAGCAAAGTCAATCCGAGGACATTCCATGATGAAAATGGAAGGACTTCCAACAGGAAAAATGGAAAAGATTTACAAAAACTATTGAAACAAACTATTGTCCTGATTAAGGATTGTAGTAGCATCATGCTTGAACCCTAACCTTATAACCCCAGGTGTGCTTAGAGAGGAAGTAGAAATGACCATAGATTGCCTGCTGTTTGTCCTTCATTCTCCAAGAGGACCATGACATCAGGAAAGTGATCCCATGACATGCAAATGAATTTGGATTCAAGTGAGGAAGGACTGTGCAAAGTCATCAACCCCACTTTCTCCTCCAGAGCCATCTGGATCCAGTGGCCAGATATGGACCAGGACAACTGGAAATGGCCCAGGATGCAGGGGGGGTCCTTGGCCTTTTCAAGCTGAGGTCTTTAACAAGTCTCAGTTTGACTGAGACAGCACCCATTCAGTGATTAAGGTTTAAAAAAATGAGGCAAAGAATGACCTCTTTAAAAAAAAAATAGATCTGGAAGGGGAAGACCCTCAAAGTTTCTGGCCAAAATAGAAACAATTGTTATATACATTTATTCTGAGCCAATCAGGGCCCAAACAGTGATCAAGTAGGGATTGGTCTGGGACTAGAGTGATTTGGGGTTAAGGGCTGGTCTTTAGGAGAAAAAAAAAACCCCAAAACAAAACAAAAGTTTCAGAAATGACACTAAGGAGAACAAAGGAAAGTAGTTGGACTCGACTGAGGTATTTGTAGAAGAGATTCAAACCAGGGTAATACTATTGTAAGGAAGTTGAGAAAGCAATATAGATAAAAAGTATCTAGAAGAGAAGATATCAAAGATGTGGAAAAAATCTTGGACATCATTAATACCAAAAAGAGTGAGAAAATATTGATAACTATTTATATATATATATATTGTCTTCTCTCCTATTTCTATAAAATATTTAAAAATCCTCTATCATGAATTGACGGCTTCTTCTTTGAGAGTTTTAGTAGAGAAAAAAACAGGGATTCTAGAAATAATACTCAACAATCAACCAAATCTTTACCATTTTATAATTAAACTGAAAGATGTAAGAATTTAAGATCCAATTGTATAATTATTTGTGGATTACAAAAAATAAAAAGCATTTGATTTCGTAGAACAAAATGATGACTTACAGGCTATTTCACAACAGAATATCTCCCCTACATTAAGAATATTCAACATTCTTTGGAAGTTATAATAATAGAAATAATATTGTTTGATGATCAAACATTATTGATAACAAACATGAAGTGAGGCATGAAACAAGGAGATAAATGTTTGCTAAAGAGATTAATCATTGTAAAGAGGAGAGATCCCCCACAGAGTCAAGGTCTACAGAAATTCTCTGACTGGTGAGGTCTTCCAGATGTTCAGTCAACATTTGTTAAGTGCCTATTAGGATGGAGTCTACCTGGTAGACATTCCTTAACTCACCAATAGGTTTGAGGCCTGACAGATACCGTCAACCTGGTTAAGCCTGTTTGCTGAGTAGATTTTACTGAGGTGTGGCCCCTGCATATACTACAGTTTCTTGAAGCCACAGGTGAGACTTGGATGACAGGTGGACACCAAAGGTGGATGAGCAGAACGGAAAAGGGCTCAGCAAGCCTTCATACCAGAGGTGCTGGTCTGTCTATCCGCATGGGAAAGACCAAGTGGATGAAGAATGTCTATTGCCCAGATTTCAACATGCATTTGGATACATACTCAGTAGAGTTTGTCTGACAGTATGTTGGACATTTGAGGTGCATTGCAAGTGGACAATGATCTGGACCCAGAGTTGAAAGGCAGGAGGAGAGTGGGCTGGATTGCTTTAGGGAAATTGAAAAGTTCTTTTACTGCCTTGGCTTGGAAAGCCAAACTTCCCAAGGAAGCAAAGACATATTTTTTCTTTTCTTTTCTTTTTTTAAAATTAATTAATTTATTTTTAGTTTTCAACATTCACTTTTATAAGGTTTTGCATTTTAAATTTTCTCCCCCTCCCTTCCCACCACCCTCTCCAAGACAGAGTACAATATGATATAGGCTCTACATATGCATTCCTCTTAAACATATTTTTCACATTAGTCATGTTGTAAAGAAGAATTAGAACCAATAGAAGGAACCATAAGAAAGAAGAAACAAAACAAAACAGAAAAAAAGAGCAAATAGTATGCTTTGATCTGCATTCAAACTCCACAGTTCTTTCTCTGGATGTGGATAGCATTTTCCAGCATGAGACTTTTGGAGATGTCTTAGATCCTTGCATTGCTGAGAAGAGTTAAATCTATCAAAGTTAGTCATCATACAATGTGACTGTTACTGTGTACAATGTTCTCCTATACACTCAACATCTGTCCATACAAGTCTTTCCAGGTTTTTCTGAAGTCTGCCTGCTCATCATTTCTTATAGCACAATAGTATTCCATTACATTCATGACATATCTTTTCAATGTTAGCATTTAACTGGCACTGCTGTGTAGAACTGCAATTTGGATCACCACTCTCTCCATAGACCTAAAGTTGAGAAACACACAGAGGATGATGGGGGCAGGGGAGGGGATGGTGTGAATTAGCAGGCTGCAACTGTAACTGTGGAACTCTGAAGAATGGGAGTAAAGGATATCATCAAGAAATTATGTGATGGCATGTACAAAAATATTCATAGCAGCTCTTTTTGTGGCGGCAAAGAATTGGAAATTGAGAGAGTGCCCATCAATTGGGGAATGGCTGAGCAAGTTGTGGTATATGAATGTGATGGAATACTATTGTGCTATAAGAAATGATGAACAGGCTGACTTCAGAAAAACCTGGAAAGACTTGTATGGTCTGATGCTGAGTGAAGTGAGCAGAACCAAGGGAACGTTGTACACAAAACAGCCACATTGTGTGAAGACTAATATTGGTAAACTTAACCCTTCCCGGCAATACAAGGATCTAAGACATCTCCAGAGGCCTTCTGATGGAAAATGCTATCTGCATCCAAAGAAAGAACTATGGAAGTTGAATTGCTATTTTTTTTCTCTTCTGTTGAGTTTTGTTTACTCTTTCTGATGGTTCCTCCTATTGGTTTTAATTTTTACTTACAACATCACTTATGTGAAAATATGTTTAATATGAATGTAAATGTATAGCCTATATCAGATTGTGTGCCATCTTGGGGAGGGTGGTGGGGAGGAAGGGGGAGAAAAATTCTAAATTCAAAAGCATATGGAAGTGATTATTGATAAATCCAAATAAATTAATATAAAAAATAAAAAGAAATTATGTGATGGAAAGAGAAGATGAACTGATCACATGACAAATGTGAAGGATGACAAGTGAACTGCCAGAGTGCTCCATTAGTACCCTTGTGATGTCAGGAGAAAACCGGTAAGTTCTACCATGTTGGGTGGAGTCCCTGTGCTAAACTTTTGGAAGAGTGGCCCCGATGGGCAGGTGTAGATGGGTTGCCATCTATATTGCTGGAAAACATTCCTAAATTGATGAGATAACAGCTTCATTTGAATATTGAGTGTCATATAGTCCTATTGTTGTTTTTCCTTCATTTTGGAAGAAGACCAATGACATCACAA